TTTTTTTTTTTTTTTTTTTTTAGGATAACCCAAAGAAGCTACGTATTTTTATCTGTAAATAAATAAAATCACCCAGTGATTGGTATATTTATATTTTCTCATGATCAAGAAAGTCATGCATTATGGAAGAACAGAGATTGTATTTTATTTTAATAATGTTAAGTATATAAATCACACTTTGAAAGTCATGCAGGTGATGAAGAAAGCTCTTGCTTTTGGTCTCAATTTATTGCTTCAGGTTTCACGGACTGAGGTCTTGAAATCTAAATACCATATTCATCAAGTGATTACAGAAACAGGAAAGTGTTCTTGCCTTTTATTAAAGGAAGGCAAGTTTTTTCCAGTAGTGATTATGAACCAGGATGATCTGATTCTGTAGTAAAGAAAACGGATAGGCATACCTAGTAATTAACTCTTTGCCTGAGCAAGTTATGCCATTAAAATCCATGGGTTTTTTTGTTCTATGTTTAGATGTGATCTGTTTGTTCACCCTGTCATTGTGGTATTGTCACAGACCTTGCTGTGTTTAGTAATGTTTCTGACACTTAATCTTTGTTACTCTTTATTTCTCCCATACCTTACCCATAACTTAAGAAAATCAGCTTTCTGTAGACTAAAAGATCCCTTCCCTGTTGCTTAATCCTACCATTCACCCAGTCCCTGGAGTCTGTCCTTTCCTGGCAGCCAAAGACTGCACAATTTCTCCTGTGCACGCTGCTTTTAAATCCACCCTGTACTCAAGTGCTACATGCAGACCAAAATAACATCAGCTTAGAAATGGAGAAAAGCTGGACCCTTCTGCTTCCCAAAGAAACCTATAATGTAATGTTACCCGAGTTAAATCTGTTTCCATCCTTCAGCTGTGCCAGCAGCGCCCAGTAGCTGGAGCCTAGACAGCGGAACCAGAGAGGCCCTGCCATTCCTGTCTGCCCACGTTGGGAGCATCTTGGCCCCACCAGTACCTCCCCGAAGCCTACCCCATGGTAAGGAAATGCCCAGTAGGTCCACTGGATAATTCCTGCAGTCATGCACAGATACATCTAGGACACACGGACGCTTCTGTGAAAAGAAAAGGAGAAAAAGGAGAGAAGCCTTTCCTGGTCTGCTTGCCTGACTGTTAGATAAGTCTTAACATTTCATCAGCTGAAGTAATAAGGACTTGGTGTGTTTGGGGACTTGAATTAAGTTTGTGAGTGGTGTAAACTAACCTGGGTTTTTGCCAATGACTATTTGCAACAGTAGCTTAAGGCTAAAGAGCTATTAATTGAGTTTCCAGATGTTTGATGTTTACAAGCCTGTTGTCTTGCCATGAGATCCTTGGTAACAATGGTGGGTGGAATTTTGTTACTGCTACCAAACTCTTCATTTGCACTTTGCAATAATGTGACAGATACACTCCAGGTTACCCATTAAAAAGATTGTTTTTCAGGATATGTGGTAAGCTCTGGACTGGAGTTGAGCATTCAGTATTTGGACCTGGTTGGTGTTACAGAGGATACAAGAACAGGGAATGCATACTGCCTTGAGGCTACAAGCTCTCAGATACGACTCTTTGTTAATATTTTATTTCTTGTCTTGTTTCAGGACACTACTCACTGCACTTTGATGCCTTCCATCATCAGCTCAGTGACGCCCCCCCAGCATTGCCAGCAAGAACACTGCGCAAGGTAAAATGATCTCTTGAGAATGCAGGGCCTTCATAACACTAGAATCCCCATCTCTTTTATGCCTTTCCTTGCTAATTCTAGCATCCATCCTTCTCTCGTATTGCCTGAGCAGCAGGAAGCCCATCATCCTGCTATGTCTTAAAAGCAAAAGCTCAGACTGAAGACTAATGCTGCTTACTATCTGCACCCAGATTTCCATTAAAGTGACAGTTTACTATTATTAGAATAATTAAATGGCCCCAAGATGTATTCCATTTTGGCCACAGAAGATTCACCAGCCTAGTGGGCTACCTTGCTTTTTTTATTTTGTATAAAAGCTGTAGATCCAAGGAGGCAAACCATTAACTGTTCAGTTCTAATCACAAATGAGACTCTCATTTCTCTCACCTAAGAATTTTGAGAGTAGGTGAGGGAAGACCAACAGCATTTCCACCATTATGATGTAGCAGAGCCTTTTAATTCAGATGGACACAGGAGGCAGGGACTAAAATGTTCAGTATTCAGGTCTCTTTAGAGTGGTCTTCAATACAGATCATCAGGTAGTGAGAAGGCATAAAGTATTTCCCTCCTTAAGCAATCTTTTCCAACCTCTGCCTCAAGAAGGAAAAGTTAGTTCTTCTTTCCTGGTACTCAGAAATAAAAAATCCCAGAGGGTTTTTGACCTCACTTGCGACTAAATAACTGAAATGAAAGCATGATATAATGCATCTGATACTGAAAGATATCTCTGCAATCAGTCTTTTGATCACTACAATTCCTAGCATCAGTAGCCACAGAGGTCGTGTCTACATGTGCTCATTTACTTTGCAGTAATTGAAATTACTGCGCAGTATGGGCACATGTCTACACATGCACCCACACTGCACAGTAAATATGGCGATTTACACTGACTTGAGCATAAATTTGATACCTATGTCATGCAGGTATCAAATTTACGCTTTAGTTACTGTGCAGTAACACACGTGTAGACTGTAGTCCCAACTCAGTCCACACACAGTGTTAATGCGCTTTAATGCCTGCACAGGTAAACACTGGCCTATTCCTGCTTACTGTGCAGTTATTTCTGCACAGTAAATTTAAGTTGGTGTAAATGTACATGTAGACATGCTGAGAGGGTGTTATTTATTTGAGACCAAATGATAGCAGTGTTAATTAAAAAGTTATTTATGGCTAATGTTTTTTGGGTCAAATTTTCAAATCTACAGGCAGGTGCAACAACATAAATGTGCTGGTAAATATGCTAGGTGGTCCAGGATGCATAGGTAAGCTGTACAAAGATCCTTCCTAAAACTTCTTACTGCCCTCAACATAACAGTACATTGAAATTCATAAGATTTGGAGAGTGCTTTGGAAATTGCACCCCCTCCATTCTTTCTCCTCAAGTGGGGCTGAAAATGCATCAGCAGTGGTGAAACGGAGCATAAAGGAACAAAACAGGAGTGAAATTGACAAAATCCCTGACTTGTTACCATGATTGAGCTTCATAGAACTTTCACTTTTGGTTCCTCTTTGAGGAACCAGGCAGCAGAGCAGCAGTCAGGCAAGGGAGGTATTAAGAAACTGCAAAGAAGAAATCCAAGGAGAGTAGAGAAGTATAAGGAAAGAAGAGCAAAGAAGAATAGATCAGCACGAGTCATAACGTGGAAGCAGACATCATCTGATTTCTCATTTGTGCAGCCTTAAAAATGTTTAAGGTGGCACAGATGCAGCTATGCCCCAACACATCGTGGCACAACTGAATCACAATGTTCTGCAATATCTGTTTCTAACCATAATAGGGGCAGGGAGCATACATTCAATACCCACCACATTCACATGGACTTCACCTGCAGGCAGCCTGAATAATAAGAGTGGATGCTGGGGAGAGGATTAGGACACAGAATAAAGAAAAGATAGAAAAAGAGACCTGGGAAAAGGGGGAGAAGATAAGAAAAAGGATGAAAAGAGAGAGCACTGAAAAAGATAAAAATTAGGGTATGGGGATGTATATGTTAAGTGCTGCAGGAGCAGGGAGGAGACAATGGGCGCATCTAAACGTTATTAATGCAATACAGTAAAATACTGTGCAGTAAGCCACCTCCATCTACGTGTGCACCCTGTTGGAAGCAAATCTGTTCCCAACAAGAGCAGTGCAGTACATGGCTGATCCTGACCTCCTCTGTCCCCCTGCAGCAGCCAGGGAGAGCTCCAGACTCCCCTGAGGTGCTATCCCAGGGGCTGGCAGGGGCATGGGAGCTGGTCTCAATATGCACAAGGCCAGGAGAGCTCGGCCAGCTGCAGCAGCAGCTGTCTTACGGCCCCGTGCACATCAGGAAGGATCCTGATGTGCACAGGGCTGAGACAGCTGCCACTGCAGCCACCAGAGCTCTCTCATCCTGTGTGCATCAGGACAGAGCTGCCAATGAGTGGTGTCCAGTGGAGCTCACCTGCCTAGCAGGGGGCTCACTAGGAGTTGTCCTGCTTCTGGGGCAGCTGCTGGTGAGGCCCTTGTTGGGCAGATTTCCCATCCAGCAGGAGGCTCGCTGGGAGCTGTCCTCCTGCCTGGCAGCTTCTCCATAAGTGGTACAGGCAGTCCTCGACTTACAATGTTTCAAGTTACATTTTGCACTTACGACGTTTATAAATTAACACCCTGTTTCAACTTACAATGCCAGTTTCGACTTACAATGCTTGATCCGATGCAGTGCCATGCCAGCAAACAAGTTCGCTGCATTGGCCATCTCCCTGGAGAACATCTGTCCAAACTTCCTTGGACACCTTTCTTTAAGAAAGCAGACAAGACTCCAGAAAACCCTGCAGGCAAGACTCCTGAGAAGACTGCAGCCAAGAACCTTTCAAAAAGTCCAACCTAGAGCCCTTCAAAAAGTTCATCAAAGTCACCTCAAAGAAGTCCTTCCAAATCAATATGATTGCTATTTACAATATAATTGTATTAATGTAGCTATATCACTCATCTATAATTGATTTGAGTACAAAATTCTGGGGTATTTTTGGTGAAAATAGGGTATTGGGCCTTGGTTCAGGAACCAATCCCCCATTTTTAACATTGTTTCTTATGAGAAAATTGGTTCCAAGTTACAACGTTTCAACTTAAGACATGGTTTTCAGGAACCAATTGTGTCGTAAGTCTGAGGACTGCCTGTACTGTGTAGTAGCTAATGCACAGTTAATCCACTATCTGTATTTACAGGTAGTAGAAGACCACACATTAGCCTAATTTACTGTGCAGTAGCTGTACATGGTGACACCTTACTGCACAGTAGATTAGTTTACTGTGCATCTCATGTAGGTGTGCCCAGCATGCATTAGGTGGGGGGCACAGTCTGTGTACCATTAAGTCCTTACAAATAGAAGGACAAAAGGAGTCCAGTTAACACATCTGAGCCCCAATATGTAGGACAGAAAGTTGTCTATCATAAACATTTTTAATAAATAGAAAATAGTTAATTATACATGGTAAAACATGTCCATCATGCATGAAGACTTGTAACACATTATTAATATTTTCAGTGCAATATTTATGGTGCAGAGCTTTACATAAATGCCATAATATGCAATAGGAAAGGAATATGGGTGGTCCTTCTTGCCTTAAGCAGAAAAAGATATGGACAGTATCTAATGGGCTGTAAACCATGAAACCTGCACCAGTGAGGTGCAGAATTGCCACATCACTAATTTTTAACTTCTGTGTGTCTTTTTTTAAACAGTCTCCTCTTCATCCAATCCCTGCATCACCCACAAGTCCCCAGTCTGGCCTGGATGGGAGTAACTCCACTCTGTCAGGCAGTGCCAGCAGTGGTGTCTCCTCCTTAAGTGAGAGTAACTTTGGACATTCATCTGAGCCCCCTCCTCGTACAGACACCATGGATTCTGTCCCTAGCCAGGCCTGGAATACTGATGAAGACTTGGAGACACCCTACCTCCCTGTCAGGTACAGTCTCTCTGAGCCTGATGTCCTGGAGTCTCTCAAATCTCAGCCATGTCGAAGCCACTCTGCTCCATCTGGAGTCATTCCTCAGGACACCCTGGACCCTCCAGCTCTACCCCCTAAACCATATCACTCCCGGCTCCCAAATTTGGAAAATGAGGGGGGAATGATAATGGAAGAAGAAGATAAACATCGGCCACTGCATCGCAAGGTGTCCCAACCAGTCGGTGGTGGAAAGGAGGAGCAGGCCAGAGTAGCATGGGAGCACGGCATCAGTGAGCAGTAGGCAGGACTCCCAAGAAGAAGCTTATGTGGTCATTCCAGGTCTGACAAGCAAGAAATCAGATATAAAGCATCAGAACTCAGAGGAGAGAACAGCAAACCAGTTCTTTATTTTCTACTGCTATGAGTTAATGTCTGGAGCCCATACAGAGGTTGGGCCAGCATGTGAGGTTGCTGCTTTCCTTTTTATTGCTTTTTTATACTTTTCAGTTTTGTTATTTTTTTATTTAATTTTTGTGCAGTGGGCGCTTTATTCCTCCTGCAGTTTATCAGACCACATAAAGTGGCACATAAGCTGTTAGCCATAGAGACTTGCAGAAGCCGAAAAGAAATAGAATATTGGATGGGGGATGTGGCAAGTTGTTTTTTTAAAAATGCTTTCCTCCCAGTTTTGAGACGCACACAAGTAGAAGCAGTTGCACTAGGGACATGTTTCTTTGCTGTATAGAAGTGAAAGCTCATTGCTGAATTCAGGGATTCCATGAACTGTCAGGCTGGAAGGTGCATGGTCTGCCGGCAGGAGAAACGTGGCTGTGCTAAGAAGAAACTGGCTCATCGAGGTGTTTTGAGCATACACAACTGTGCAGTGGTCTCCCTGCATTGGCTAACATGTGCTGAAGTAATTTAACCACTGCTGACAGACTTCCATACTGACCTGTGAGGGATCATTTCAAACAAACTCTGCCTCTCTTGGTTTTTCATGTATTATTAATATTATTATTATTTCCTTAATTTCATTTTTACCAGTTAAACCAACCTGCTTTTCCATTGGAATCTGTATCCACTTGATGCTGTAGGTTCAGAGAGGGTTATGTAGCCCTGGGGGCTGCAACCCAATTCTAGGTCTTTCTCATGCCTAGCTCTGGGCAGGTTGTTGTCACCAGCACTTTTATTCCAGTTAAGTAACCAGCTGAGTGGCTTATGCCACAACTGGTTGATGACTCAGCCAGTAAGAAGAGAAGGCTTAAATACATCATACCAGTCTTTGCCTCAGGGCTGAACATCTGCACAGTTCATACCAACATCCTCATCCAGGAGCTGAGGTTCATTAACTGTGTTTGTTATTGTAATATCTATGCCCCTCTGATACAGCTCTATGCTGCTAGTGCACAAGGCCTCCATCTCTCTCTTTGCAGATAGGACATCCAGTGTGATGCTAGAAATATCCAATGTTTAGTGAGTACTCCAGAGTCAGGGATTTTAAAGGTGACCTGTAAAAAGAGGAAAAATGTATGTTCCTTTTTTGGCTTCTTTATGACATATATAAAAGACGTGACAAGGTTTTCTTTCTTTTTTAAATTATACAAGGGTTTCTCCCACTAGTTTGTTTTTATATTACACTATAAAGTCTTGACTTCCCTTTTATGCTGGCAGACTACCTGAAGGATTGGAGAATTATGACTACACACAATCTTGCCCTTTTATGCATGAACTGAGAATCCTCTCACTTTTCCTTGCAAGTCCTTCAAGGAATATTCTTCAAAAAGGAAATACAATTCCAAGTATCTGATATTCCTAAAATAAACAAGGCAAAAGCCCCCACATCCCAGGCTTGTTTGTAATCTTCTAGTAATTCCTTGTATTTAACTATTGCTTTCCATCTCCAGATCTCAATGCACATTCCAGAGGAGGGTAAGTATCAGTACCCCTCTTTTTTATAGTTGGAGAAACAGAAACACAGAGAAACTTAGGAACTTGCCCAATATTGCATCAGTTAGTGTCTCCCATTTCTGTGCCCTATCTCCATGGCCTCCCATACATCATAAATATTAGACAGGAACAAAACAAGAGAAAAGGTTCTCCCCCGCCCCCTTTGCAGGTCACCTTTAGCTCTACCTCTAAGTTAGGTGACTGGGCATAGTACACCACTTCTGAGCTCTCCCAAGGATAGTACATCTATATCAAGTTGGATTTAACTGACTGTTGAATGGAGAGGCTTTTGAGATGCTTTCTTTCTTCTCTCTCAAGCTCTATCCCGTGAAAAAGAAATATAATTCTGTTTGCATTTCTTTGGTCTGCCTGGATAGAAAAACCAGTTTATCCTGCATCCTTTAATTTGCACTAGAGTAGGACCTTTGGAATTGCTGTATCCCTTACTGTTAAAACGTAAGTGTTGAGATTTGGCTCAGGATTGTCATTTCATCTCTAGCTGGAAGGACAGCTTACCACTGTCAAGGCTGGCCTGCGCAGAAATGGAAAATGATGAATGCCTTTATAAAGGTCACATTTGTGGAAGGCCTATCTCTTTGGCTGGGTAAATCAGGGTCAGCCTTTTGAAATTACTTGGGTTATTCTTGTAGACTGGAGAATCTGACCCTGGATTTTTTTTAGGAATTGTTATCAAAGCAAGACATGTGTTTCCCTTTTTTTGTAGAAGAGGTGAACAGTGTTGTACTGCGGGATGTATTGGAGTTAATAGTGGAGTGAATTTATTTCATTTAATGTTTAACGTGCCTAACTAGAGCTCTGAAGGATTTCCTAAAGCATAACACCCTAGCCTGACTGGAGGACATTGTCTATCATGGAGAAGCCCAGCTTAGATATCAGATTTTTTGAAGTTTTTTACACATGTAAGAATCATAGAACAATAGGGATGAAGGGAACTCAGGACATAATTTAGTCCAACCCCCTGATCAAGGTAGAATCATCCCTATCTAAAATATCCCAAACAAATGTATAGAATCATACTATGGCTGAAAGCTAGGTAAGATGATCTATTAGATCAGCAGAGGACAACCGTTTTAGGCTGCAGGCCAGAGTAAGCAGTTTGAGTTGGAGAGGAGGACAGGTGTTAGGACCCAGCCACTGCCACTGTTTTTTCTATGATGGCATGAGAGAAGTACCCACAGTCAGTGGTTCCCTCTGCGGAAGTAGGGGAAAGCAACTGCAACTGAAGCCCCTACCACTGAATACCACTGAGGCCTCTTGTCTGTGGGCTAAATCAAATGGCTCCAAGGGTTGTAAGTTGCCAACCCCTACATTAGATCATGGAAATGGGTATCAGGTAATTCTACAGAAGGTCCATAGTGCACAAATAGGGAGGGGGCAAATTCAGTTAATAAACATATACTTGAGCCTCCTTGGGATTTTTCTGAACCATGGTCAAATTTTAACAAAATGCTTTATGTATCCTTTAAATGCTCAATTTAAAAGAGCAGGAGAGGAAATTAATCTCAAGCGTGATTGAGACCTTGAAAATATGAAACTACTCTGGGGAAGAACATCCTTGACCAGTATTAGCATGAAAGTTGAGGACCCAGTTCAGCCTTTGGGAACAGACTCCAGGTGCTGAATTAAGGCTGGATTTGAGGCTTTGAATTGCCCCCTAGAATACTGTGCTTTCTGTAACCCAGCATTGTAAACAGATGTTTACAAGGGGCATGGTGATTCCATTCTCATTCACCAAGTGTGAAATGGAAAATACTTCTTTTGGGTTCTTGAGCAACAAACTAGCATGTGGATTCAGGAGAGGATGGGTGAGGTCTTGCAGGAATTAATGAATCCATCCAACACTGGTTGGGACTACTGCCCCATCTGAAGGAAAAGGGAATGGGCAGAGGCAGTGGTGGAGGGGGAGCAATCAGAATTGTATTGAAGGACTCCACTACATTTGTTCTTTGGTTGGGAAGGATGTTTTGTTTACATTGCCACATGCAAGACCATAGGGATTTTTATTTTTATTTTTTAGGTTTTTTTCCCCTATGTGGGTGGGCAAAGGGACCTTGCATATCCTCCTGTTAGAGGATCAGCCAAATTAGGGAGGCAAGAGAGAGCAGGAGCCTTTGGGGAAAAAATTGTGTGATATTTAACTTTTCCTTCCATCATGCTTCTTTGTAAATACCCTATTTGAATGCTGTGTATTTGTACAGGAAATTGAGCAAAAAATGTATAGATTGTGATGTCTGACTGGTTCTCTGCCTTGTAAATGTGTTTTTAACCTCTGGCATTCTGAGCTTATTTAAAAAAGGCAAAAACCTCTAACCACTTCTCTTTTGTGTATTCATGTTTAAAAAAAAGGTCAAAATACTTAACTATAATGGAAATCAAATTTAAAATTAAAAAAAAAAGAATTTGTACAAGTGTCCTAAAGGTATTTCATTGTATATATTGTGATAGCATGTTTCTGGAACCAACAAATAAGTGATGTGAATTTTAGATGTAAATATTTGCTGTTTGTTTTGGATTTTTTTCCTTTCCCTTCCCCATTCACTCGACTGCTGTGATGTGGAATTAAAGATTAATACCTGATATTAAAATGTTGGGTGGATGTATATTCATTGTGGTCCTGCTGAGAGGCTTGACCAGCTGCTCCTCCTGGTGTTCACAGGATCTCCCTCTGCTAGAAAAAAACAGATGGTGCACATTTCAGTCCGGTTATCTTGGCCCAACTTCATTCTACAGATGATATTACAGAAATGTTTTAGTGCATGCCAGCAATATCTCAGCATTTTGAGGAAAAGGAACTACTGAATGCATAGAGGCATCTGGGAGACCTTGAGTGCATTATGAATCGAGAGGGAACTGTTTCCAAAGCTGTGCTCAGACTGGCTGATAGTTGTCTGCACTGTTTGGAATGTCTTTTTATTTTAACACTTAAATTGGTTAGAGCAGAGGTGTCAGATACACAATACAGCCCACAAGCCAAATTCAGCTGCCAAAGTATCTTCAAGCACCTAATGCAACTGGATTGTGTGTTATACAAACTAAGTAAAATTCTAGCATATGTAGTTTTGAGGAAAAGCTTCTGAATGTGCAGTGAGTGTTACTGATGTTGTGCTGTCTGCCCAAATGTCTGGACAGTCTGGAACATTAATCTTATTGTCTCCCATTAATCTCATGGAGTGCCAGCTTTAAAAGCCAGCCTGTGATATACTTTAATTGTCAATATTCATTGCTGAACAAGTTAATGAGAAAACAAATAAGTAGGAGGAAGGAAACAAAATGCAGAAACACTGGTGGTGGATGGGGAAAGTGTATGTTTTCACAGAGGATGCTGACTATGGCAGTAAGACACTGGACAAGTAATACATGACAGTAACTGAAAGTTCAGTTACTAAATAAAGGTCACCTGGGCCTTTATGGGGCTGGCTGAGCCTTGAAGGTCACTGCTGGTTTTGGCTCTACTGGAGGTGTCTTGGTTTTAGGCTGTCCCTCAAAGGATATGGAAAGCAGCATGTGACCAAAGGTTTTGTATGTTTTAAGTGGGGAATAAATATTTTATTTCAAATGGCATTTGGTAGTAGGCAGTGATTTGGGGCATAGATCCAACTACTTTATTTGAATTAAGAGCTTTACTATTCTGCAGTTTTGTGTGTTAATTACCATACTGTGCACTCTTCCTAGGATCTAGAATAAAATAGTTCTTCCCACTAATAACACGAGGACTATTATTCTCATTCTGCAAAGACACAAACCAAGGCACAGCAAGGTGAAATATTTCTCTGACTGTTAGATACCAAAGGTGGAACAGGAAAAAGCCTGGCAATCCAAACTTGCAGACTGATAGAGAATAAAAAATACCTATTTAAGCAATGATTTAACAATAATCAATACTAGTTATTTAAATGCTGCAGGAAAACTGAAACAATTAATTGACCTGAATAAAATAATGACTGTCTGCTGAGGGTTTCAAGAAATACTGATTATGCCCACGCCGATCAGCCCCCATTATTATACAAATAATAATATACATCAAGAAATGTACAGGAAATGCACAGAATATACAGGAAAAGGGGCCTTTGTACTTAAGGGGTGGGAAGTCATGTGGTGTTCTGAATAAAGTTTCACCATGCATCCAAAACTTGGTAATGCTAATATAACTGCACACTACACCTATCTTAACATTTAGGTCACAAATCACATGGGAGCACATCTACAAGCAGCCACATTAAATCACATGAACTACCCTTGTATCTACACTCCTTTGTCATCTTACTGTGCTTTGTAATTTTTGAGCACAACACTAAGATGTCTCCTAAGTTCCACTGTGTGCAGTGGAGCTCTTCAAGGGACTGGTGTGCAGGCTAGGCTCTCATTCAGAGCATGTCTCTACAGGCAGTAGAGAGAAGACGGGGAGGATAAAGGATGGGAAACGGGAACAGGGAATTCATTGCAGAATTGCTGCTGGCAGAGTCCTGAGGCCTGCACTCCCAGGTCAGTTCCAAACACACCACAGAAAGGGGAGGGCTAGAAGGTGATTAGAGCTGGTATTGATTTCAAACCTGGACATTCAGCAGAGCTTCTAGGGCCACAGTGGCCAAACCGTAGCTCGAGAGCTGCACGCAGCTTGCTGATGTTGTACTTGTGGCTCTTGTCCCAGCCTTCTTGGACTGCCAGCTCAGGGTGGGGACTCAGCAGCACCACTTACCCAGAGGTGCACTCCCCACGGGGAAAGCTGGAACGGCTCAACACTCAGCATCTCCTTCCCCCACCTCTGCTCTCTCACTGCATTGCTCAGCACCCCCCACCCGCTTTTCACCGGGTCACTCGGCACCCTCACTGCCCCTCCCCCCCAGCTCTTGAACTTCATGTGGAGGATCGGATGTGGCTCCCAGGGTAACTGTGGCCACCCCTGTTCTAGGGTCTGGCTGGACTGCTGCAGGGGGCTGAACTTAGGGGCTTAGCATAAAAGCTTGCAGGTATGGACTTGTGGACACTTAACATCAACCCTCCCAGTATACAGCTTAATTAATACTGTTGTTTCTGCATCCATGTGAGGTGGTGATCCTCAGTACCCTCCCTATTGATCACATTGCCTAATCCTGCAAAAAGTTGAGCATCTCCTGTCAGTTTGAGATGGCTGCTGAACACTTTGCTTGCACTGCGTGGGGCTCGGAGAAAATCTGAAATGCCAGTATGAATATTTTTTCTTTACCTTCCAGGTATGTTGCACAGCCAAAATAAGGGCCTCAATCATAACCAGCTCCTGGCAAGGGTGAGTGAAGACAAAGTTAGGACCTCTGAAGAGAAAGGAAACCACACCCTTGTTGCCTTCAGAAGCCGCTCTACAAAGAGGGAGGCATATTCCCCTATCCAAGGAGCAAAAGAAGCTGAAAAGCAGCATCGGAAAGTAATGTCTCCCTCCTCTCGGTGTTGCCTACAGCGTCTGTCCCCTAGCAGTAGGTCAGGCCTACGGAAACCTGGGAGGCTTCTGGGGAGACACGGTGCTGGGCTGCGCATCACACCTGCTCTGGGGATAAATAACATGCTTTGCTACAGGAGGGAGCGGGCCTGGTCACATCCTGCCTCTCATGGGAAATGTCACTGGCATCCACTGGTGGGTGGGGTTGTTTTCTGCTCACTGTTAGTGGGTGCCCCTTGCTCCCATCGCAAACCTGCCACCGCAGGGCACGTGCTGGAGGTCTGGACCTGCTGGCTGCCATCCACACAGGGATTGAACCCCTTGGAGGAAAGGGACAGGGACAGCTACTGAGCACAGGAGTGAGGGTAGGGTGACCACACTTTCAAAGGGGAAGGCGGGACACACGCCCGCTGCCCCCCACCACTGCCACAGCTGGACAAGAGCAGCGGAGTGGCACGGAGCAGGGGCCCGGTGCCAGCTGCCCCCTGTGGGCTCCCCTGCTGCCTTTTCCTCGGGAGCCCTGTGCCGGCCGTGCACCCCCTGCCCACCTGACAGGAGCTGGGGGCACAACTCCATCATGTGGCTGCAGCCAGGCAGGCCTGAGCACCTCAGCACCAGCATGGGGTTTTCTGGGGCAGAGCAGCAAGGTGGGGAGCCCCAAGCCTGCAGCCTGCATCTGCCGCTGCCCTGCACACACATCTGGGCGTACAAGACACACACCTAGTGCTCCCGGGACGCTGCCAGGGAAAATGGGCCGCTTCCCATCCCTGTGGATGCTGCAAACCCGGGACAACTTCGGTCATGCAGCCTGGCACCGGGACTCCCACTGCAGGACAGTGTCGCCTAGTTAGGGACAGGTGGTTGCCCTGGGGCGGCCAGCCTCTGCATCCCACTGTCCTGGGCCCTGAGCTGCAACCGGGTGAGGGAGAAGCCCTGGTCATGCCCTGGTCCCTCCCAGCCGGCCTCTCCTCTCCACGCTGTGCCATGGGGTCTGCCCTTGGAAATGTGCCCTGAGCCCTAATGGCCATTCGCTGACTGCCCCCCCCCCCGGGCCGCGTCCGCAGTTGTGGCCCAGGTCGCGCTGGGCTATGTCAGGCCGTCCCAGGCCCGACAAGCTTGCCCCAAACAAAAATGGCGGCCAGCCACGGCCTCACTGCCTGGTTTTGCCCCACACAAACAGGGCGGCGAGTGAGGTGAGAAGGGGGCGGAGATCATTTCTCTCCACCGCCTACAGGTTACGTTTCCTGTCTCCATTCGGAGGTTTATGTCCAATCAGCGGCCGCCAACTCTCCCGTCTCGGTATTCCACTGACCAATGAGAGAAGGCAGCGTGTAGGACGAGGAGGGGGCCAGCCAATGGGAGCCCGCAGCGTGTGGGAAGCGTCAGGTGCAGCCAATGGGCCGCGGCGGGACAGGGCGGTTGTCAGGGTGCCGGGCACGGGGGCGAGTGCGCGCGGGCTGCAGTCAGGGCCGGTGCAGCAGGATGCGGGCGGACACCGGGCTCTGGGC